CCAGGCCGAGGGACCCCATGGTGCACCAAGACTCTAGTATGCATATAAGACCTTTGGTTAATCTCTTCCTGCCCTTCTCCCCCTCCCCTCTGAGTCATCAGCCTGTTCCAGGTTTCCTGTGCATTGAGTGTCTGCTCCCTGGTGGCCAGTGCACGACATAGCAAACGGTCTAACAGTCAACGGTTGCTTAGGCTTTTATACAGATGATATTGTTGCAGTAGTATTAGGAGGCTCAGGTAAATTATGTTCAGCTCAGTGAAGAAAAGCACCAAATCAAAGAGGACTTTAAAATTAGAGAGGTCACTAAGTTTTGAAGCCACATCAATTATGTGAATAAAGTGTATCTAGGGGTTATGTGTATACCATTCACTGATGATGAAGGTGGAGGGACTGACAACACACTGAAAAATGTACAAAAACAAGTCAAATACAGACACTACTAGATAAGTTTTCATAAACATACTAAATTCAGAGCAGTCAAAGCACTAAACTTTTAGTAAATTCTTGATTACATGGGTGTATGCATAATTTCATGTATATTCACACAGCTGTAATATTCAAATAGTTAGCAATCATAACTAACTTTTCCTGAATTTTAACCTCACTTTAGAACAGCTCTACAATTTCCAAAAATGTCTACAAATGTTTTACACTACCATGTATTTAGTATGCTAGAATCATTGCTTAACTGAAGCTATTAGAATGTGGCCTAAAATTAAAATGCTGTCTAGAAATACTTTTATAACATTCAAAGAAATGTTAGCAAAATAAACTCTGCAACAGTTCAGTCAATTTACATTCAAGAATATTGTTCCTCTGCCTTGGCCGATGTTTCTAAGTGGTTAGAGCATCTGCCCAGGCACTGAAGGGTCTCGAGGGTTTGATTCAAGTCAAGGGCACGTACCTGGGTTGCAGGTTCGATCCCCAGCTGGAGTGGGGTGCGTGCAGGAGGCAACCAATCAATGAGTCTTTCTCACATCTACCTTTCTTTCTTTCTTTCTTTCTTTCTTTCTTTCTTTTCTCTCTCTCTCTCTCTCTCTCTCTCTCTCTCTCTCTCTCTCTCTCTCTCTCCCTTTTTCTCTTTTCTTCCCTCCCTCCCTTCAACTCTCTTGAAAAATCAAGGGGGGGGGGGGGGGAATATCCTTGGGTGAGGATTAACAAACAACAAAAAAATATTGTTCTCATTTCTAAGATTTTTCTGAGATTTACCAAACACTCCCAGCAAATTAAGAGGTAGCCAAGCAGTGGAAAGAGACACAAAATTTAACTTTTCAAATTACTCAATATGTCTATGCCTCAGATTTCTCATCAGCAAAATGGAAAAGGCTGGAATTTATGTCATCTTTTCATCTCTAAAACCTACATAGCTCTATAAGTTGATAACGGCTATCATGCAAGATATTGTATAAAAATAGCTTCTCATCTGTTAGCATATTTTGTTTTAAGAAGAAATGGAACTGTATCTATACACAGAAGTCACTGAAATATGCTTGAGGTAACCATAATCAAATGACACCTGGATTCATTTGTCTCTTTTTCTGCTCACTTTTGATCAACTTAGTTACAAATACATAAATAAATATATGTAAATATATGTTAGCTGACTCAAAACTAATTCTCACATAAGATTTCCACAAATATAAAACTGCATACCCTTAGTAACAGAGTTCATTTACTATCAGCTGAAAGGCAATCTTTAAGTTCAAAATGAAAAGCAGATTTTGCACTGCATTCTCTCCAAAGCCTGGCTACCTATTATTTTTAAAGAATTGAAAACTATGTACAAAGTGTATTCTCAGCAGAACACAGGCACTGAAAGCAAAAACTGGAAAGATACTCAGATTTTTTAAACAAATATAACCAACACACTTTTTATTTATTTATTTAGAGACTCTGGCTAGGATTGAGAACAAGAGTCACTTCTCATGGGACAAGACTATGTAATGCAATGTTTTTCTCAAAATTATCACTTGATACTAATTTCTCAGAAAGAGATGGAGAGTATTCCCATCCATTTAAAGGAGGAAACAGCTCATGTTTTCTAATTTACAGTAATCCCTAAACATTTAGTTAGCTATCTCAAAAAGTTAATAAGCCAAGAAAATTAAGTTAGGTTTTTTTACTGTGAGAACGTACTGTTCTTAAAACTGTATCATAGTGACCTCCGCGCGTCTCCGTGGTGTGGCCTCCCGCGGTCTCCTCTGCAAATGGGCTCCCTGGCCTAGCGCCCCCGTTATCCCGTTATCGCGCGCCGAGGTCCGCGAGGGGTCACCGCCAAGGTTTCCACCAGTGCACAAGCAAGGGCATGGCCGCCATCCCCTCCAGAGGCTCACTCGTGGCCACCCACGACTACTACCGGCGCCGCCGTGGTTCCACTTCCAGTAACAGCTCCTGTGGAAGTGCCCAGTACCCTGGGGAAGCCATCCCCCACCACCCGGGTCTCCCCAAAGCCGACCCGGGTCACTGGTGGGCAAGCTTCTTTTTTGGGAAGTCCACTCTCCCATTCATGGCCACAGTGTTGGAGTCCCCAGAGCACTCGGAATCTCCCCAGGCCTCCAGCAGCATGATCACCTGTGACCTGGCTCGGGAAGCCACAAGGAAGCAGCCTGGCGGCCAGCCTGGCAAAGTCAATGCTGGGCCCCCATCCTGAGTAGCCAGCACCAGCCACCAGACTTCCAGAGGCGCTAGGCTTTGAGCCCCTCCCCCCCTCCTCCATCCCCTTCCCTCTCACCCCACCTGGCGTAGACTAGGCCGGCTGCAGCAAGCAGAAGCAGTTGGGTTCTTTTATATCAAAACAGCGAAGTTGAGAGAGCCCCAGTCTTTACTACCCAAGCCACACGCAAGCCTGCCTAACACCCCATAGCCATGTGCCTTGCACCAAGTGGAAAATAAATGAGAAGCAGCCAGCAAAAAAAAAAAAAAAAAAAATTGTATTATAGTTATTTGAAAGGTGACTAAAAATGGTTTTGTAGGTTCCATGTAGTTTATTATATTACCATCTAATAAATAATGGCCTATAATCTGCTTTGTTTCTAAAATGTTTATACTTACCTGTAATCTGCTTTCTTTTCTAGGATATTTGTCCTCAAATATAACAGTTGAGGGTCAACAGCAGTTCAAATTTAATGACTGCCCTATAAAAATTTCTAATGCAGCCCTAGCCGGTTTGGCTCAGTGGATAGAGCATCAGCCTTCGGACTGGAAAGGTCCCAGGTTCGATTCCGGTCAAGGGCACATGCCGGGGCACATGTAGGGGGCATGCAGGAGGCAGCCAATCAATGATTCTCTCTCATCATTGATGTTTCTATCTCTCTTCCCCTCTCCCTTCCTCTCTGAAATCAATAAAAATATATATTAAAAAAATAAATTTAAAAAAATTTCTAATGCAACGAGTTTATCATATGTATATGTAAGTAAGCGTCTTAAAGTAAAGACAACAAAGATTCATTTTGCATCATTGAAGAAAATTAATTTTCTAACAAAAATAATAAAGCATGCAAGCATGTGAATTAGTATAGATCTAATCGTGTAATTTTTTTTTAAAGAATAGGTTGATTTTTAGAGAGAGAAGGGAGGGAGAGAAAAACATCAATTTGAGAGCACAAATCTTCTGCCTCCTGCACCGCCCCCCCACCCCCACCCCCTAATGGAGACTGGAGCATGCAACCCAGACCAGGAATTGGACCAGGAATCAAACTGGCAACCTCCTGGTGCACAGGACAACGCTCAAGCAACTGGCACACCAGGCAGGGCCACCTGTGTAATTTTTCAAAGGTATAGCTTTCTTAAAAGAAAACATCAGTCATTCCTCCACTGCCATCCTGTTCACTGAACATATTACTAGCTGAAATCATACATTAATTGAACTCTCTTAATATGAGTGTGAGCAGAAAATATATGCTGGTCTGTGTCTTTCCAAAGGAAACATTTGGAGTTAGAATTGAAAGCAATTGATTATCCATTGTGAAAAGAAAAAAGGCCCAGGATAAACATCTCAAAAACCGGCCAGGACATACTCAAGACAATTATAACCTGACTTGCTCAATTAATTGCAGTATTTCTTCTATTAAAACACATATTCCACAGGCATCCTGTAGTTTTTAAAAGGAAAGGCATCAAAGTCTCAAATCTGCAAAGGGATGAAATTAAATGCAAAGCTGGGGGAAACAAACAAACAATAGGAATGGCCTTTTCTTTTACAATCCAAGGGTGTACTCAGAATACAAGTGTGTGGCAAGAAATTAAAAAGATTGAAGAAGAGTAGAAATGCTTTCTTAATCCACATCTGCAATTCCAACTTCCAGTATTGTTGAAATCTTATATAGCTACAAAAGTATTGTCTCCTGAATACTTTAGATTTGAACCAATACTAACCATCAGAGAACTAAGTATTATAACAAATCCCAAGATCTGTTCAGCTAAAATTGAAAACCTAACTTTCCTCAGAACAATGCTGAACACAGATGAGGAACTCACTTTCAAAACCCAATTTGTAAGGAAATCACATCGCAATTCACATAAAAAATAAAAAATACATATGCACCGTTTCAAATTTTCTTTTATGTACTTTTTCCATTAATCAAAAGGCAAAAAAAGTGTAATACCTGATTCAAAATTGTTCTGTATTAATTACTTTAGTCTTGAAAATGCATTCAGTAAAATGTACCATCACCAATAAGTAAAACATCCAATTCTAAAAGTAATTTAGTATCACATCTTTATATAATAACCTCCGGTCTGTAAAGAAAATCAAAATACTCAAAGAAAGGGCAACAAATCAACCCTAAATAAATTAGTTAATTAAAATTTTTATCCATCTTAATTCTAATAACGACCACCTTTTATTGCCTTGCCACCCCCAAAACACAATATTTTAAGTTATGAATCTTAAAAGACCATAAAAGTGTTTACCAAAGTGAAAAAGTAATCAGCAAAAAAATAAAAGCAACTCCTTTTAAAAATTAACTATTTCCTTCTTATATAAAACCCTAGTTTTGTTTTGAGATTTGCCTTTTTTAAAAGTGATTATTTAGTCACAAATAAGGAAACTGTGTTTCAAAGCCCCCCAAAAATGGATGTACAGCAACCAGGTCTTCAGAAAGGGGACACACACACACACACACACCCAAAACAAAAAATATAAATGAACTAAAAACACAAGAATAATTTTTCCTAGATTTTTATTACAAAAATACATGCTTTTAGTTTTTAAGAACAATCTAACCGTAAGACTGACATAAAATGAAAAGTAAAATTCCTCACAAAACCTTGCCTATTCACTTAAGAGCCCTTCTCCATCTTTCTCCACTATTCAATGATTGTGCAACCTTTCGAGACATGTTTATGCATCTATATGTATGTCTTTTTTTGTTTTAAACAGAAATTGCAGCATACTATATGAACAATTAGCTTGTTTTTAAACAAAATATTCAGATCACCTTTTCTTGTCAGTACATATAAATCTACTTCACTTTTTTCATGGTTGCATAGTATTCCACAAGTACTTTTTAATCAGTTCCCTTCTCTTTTTTTTAATATATTTTTATTGATTTCAGAGAGGAAGGGAGAGGGAAAGAGGAATAGAAACATTAATGATGAGAGAGAATCACTGATCGGCTGCCTCCTGCACGCCCCCTACTGGGGTCCGAGCCTGCAACCCAGGCATGTGCCTTTGACTGGAATTGAACCTGGGACCCTTCAGTCCACAGGCCGATGCTCTATCCATTGAGCCAAACCAGCGAGGGCTCTTCTGATAAAAGTGTAGAATGATTCCAACCTTTTAGAATTGCAAACCTTATAGCAACGGGTATTGCTCACTGTACAGACCAACTCTGTGCAGAAAAATTTCTAGAAATGACTAAAAAATATTGTGCCAAGCAGGGAAGCAGCATCCTCTTCGCCCACCATCTCCTCAATCTATTTGAGTACTGCCTACCCATCTTGTTAGTAATGTGATAGATGAAGACAGCATGTTATTTTTACTTGTGTTTCTTTATAAAAGAGTGAAGATGAGTTAAGCTCAATCGTGTGCATTTCTTTGTGAATGTGTTACCCATTTTTCTACTGGGTTATTCATCTTTTTTTTAACCAATTTTTTTGGAGTTCTCTGCCAGCCTTTGGTCGAGCATGCTACAAATATTTGCCCCAGTTAGCTGTTTCAGTCCAACAGGAAATTTTTACATATTTCTATGCAATTGCATTTATTTTCCCTTATAATTAAAATTTTAGACCATATTAGATAAGTCTTTCCCAGGCAAAACTTTTTAATGTGACTTCTAAATCATCGCTTAAATGGTATCAATAATATTTACATATAAGTTCTAATATGTCATTATTTAACAAAAATAAGTCAACTTACGCTTCCTCTAAACCAGCGGTTCTCAACCTGTGGGTCGCATCCCCTTTGGCAGTCGAACGACCCTTTCACAGGGGTCGCCTAAGACCATCCTGCATATCAGATATTTACATTACGATTCATAACAGTAGCAACATTACAGTTATGAAATAGCAACGAAAATAATTTTATAGTTGGGTCACAACATGAGGAACTGTATTTAAAAGGCCAGAAGGTTGAGAACCACTGCTCCTGTAATCAGCTAATGGAGAGCTCTGCACCAATGAAACACTACTTACAACTACCACACTGAGAGTGTATTTTCTCCTTTTTTTAAAAAAATATATATTTTATTGATTTTTTAGAGAGAGGAAGGGAGAGGGATAGAGAGTTAGAAACATCGATGAGAGAGAAACATCGATCAGCTGCCTCCTGCACACCTCCTACTGGGGATGTGCCCGCAACCAAGGTACATGCCCTTGACCAGAATCGAACCTGGGACTCTTCAGTCCGCAGGCTGACGCTCTATCCACTAAGCTAAACCGGTTAGGGCTATTTTTTTTCCTTTAAATGTCTTCTTAAAGCCTAGGAGTTGAAAAATAACTAGCAAGTCTGTTCAATTCCTGGGGATGTCTAAATTCTTTGTCCCTCAATCATTAAATAATTTTCAACAGTGGAAGTGAACTAGATTTTCCCTATTGTAATTATAATTTAATCATCTCTACAAAAGTCAATAAATACTCCTTATACAAACTTGTAATTTTGCAATACCAGAAAATCGCTCATGATGCTATCAATGCTGTACGCTCTGTTGTTTCATTTCATGTCCTGAAGTGAAAAAGAGTTCTACCTCAAATCACAAAATTATAAAATAAGCCTCTTGAGTTAGTATTCCAGTTCAAACCACCACTGAGAGCTAAATTAGATGGTTAATCTAGCTACTCTCTCCATTCTCCATCAAAAACAAAAGAAAGAAAGAAATTCTGGTCCTAAGTTTTCTATCTCAGTGCCAGCTGCCAGGCATTTAACAACCTTCCATCTCTAAGCTGACTGGCACAACAAGTAGTACAACTTGGAAGTTAAGAAAATTGGCAGAACTCAGAGGGGGAGAAAAATATTTTCCACAATTTCTGCAGCACTTGTTTAGCACGTATGTGTTTCTAAAGGGTGGTCAACTCTTCAAAACTGTAAGCAGCAGCATGCTACTTACTTCACACGAACCAATGCCAACTCCATTCAGTGGTCTCCTTCCCCTTTGGGGACTATTCAAAAAGTTAGTATTTTCTTTTACAACTCGCCCAGGCCTCTTCACTGATGAAAGCAGGCAAAGCCCATGCTGTGTGTCTGTCTCCTAGAGAAGATTGCATCTTTTATTTATCACTCCTTGGCTTTATTTTCACAGTGAATTCCTGGCTTAAATGCAATCAGCCAAGAAACCCTCCCTATGTGCTCTCCTGTCATTCCTCATTGCTTGCAAGCAGAATCAAGCACAGAAGGGGAGAAAGAAAAAAAAAACCTCAACGTTGCCAGCCAAGCCATAAAAATTCTCAAACTCTAGTTAGTTATACTGAGGATCCATAGATACCTTCAATCC